ATGCGACGTTGCTCGATCCTGTGGGTGAGTAGAGCCTGCTTGCCAAAATGATTTCCGCCCATTTAGCTGATATGACTAAACACACGAAGACAGTGTTGTTCATGTGCATCTGAAGATATCTACCCCTCAGACAATGTGAGTGAAAGAGTTTAATTTTACGCCGCTTTTAATATAATAATAATGTAATATTACAGCCATATCATCGTTCGGGACGCCAGGTGTGGGCTTCAGAAGTTGTACCCATGTAGGGAATTGAACCCAGGCCTTCGGCGTGACGAGCGAACGCTTTAACCACTAGGCTACCCCACCGCCCCTCAGACATTGTGGTCTGAACACCAGTTGCCAACCCTTCTTAACATCAATTCTAGCCCCCAACAGATGTGATGGTATTTGGTCTGTCGGAAGAAGTCGACGGGGTTTTGTTTAAAGCGAGAGGTCTAATTATTTCTAGTCATCTCATTTAGTACATTCTCCGTGAATGAAATTAGATTGAAAAGTACAAAATGGGTAACCTGTTCTAAAAGATACAACACCCAACATCACAGGAGGTGGCAGCCACGGTTGTGTTTCACGATCAAGATACCACAGCGGCTTTCAACTAAAAAACTAGCACAGAGGCATATAACATCACTGCCAAGAATTTAGCAGTATATAAAAAAGGGATGTGACGAGTTCCAGATCACGCTCTCTGTACTAACCCGTATTTAACGAATCTCTTGGAAATAGGTTTAGCCACAAAATGAAACAGATGACACTAATCAAAACTTTGATTAAGGATTTTGGCTCGGGATCCCAAAGTAACGATATTTAGAGTGCCCAAAGTACGCTTTTTGTTGTCAACCGTCTTATTCTGAGGTAAACCTATTCCTTTTTATATAGCGCTAAAACCACGGCAGTGTCAATATAATCCTATATCTTAGTGCATTGCTTTTCAAAACCCTATAGTCATAATGTACCAATTTACAAAAACGGCAACTTATACTTATATTGATAACAAAAGAATACATGTTGGTGTGATGCCTTTTTTGAACCACGTGCGGTTTCCGCTGTGAACATTCCACGGTATATAATACTATTTTGAAGTGTGTAACAGCGATATCTCACAAAATACTAAGTCTGCAGCTTATTCGTAGTCTTTAATCTTCAGGATGTAAAAAATTATGTCATGTAAACAACCACTGTCAATCGAACTGAATTTTAATATGATCTTGCTACACGTAAATACGATCGTGTCTTTCGGTGGTTACCAAGCCATGTTGGACTTTCTGGTAACATATTTGTTGAATCTGTGGCTAAGGCCCTATGACACAACTCCTGATACCATACACTAATTACAAGCCGGTTATTATCCCCTGCCCGAAGTGGGAGGGGGATGTAGGTTTGAGCTCTATACACCCGTCCGTCCTTCCGTCCGTCCGAGAATATGGAACAGATGTTCTCAGAAACCATTATAGATTGGGAAACCAAACTTGGTATGTGTTTTTCACGACATAAATACCTCGAGTTCTAAAACGAAAACCGTGTTACAAGTTTGTACAGAGTTATGGCCCTTGTCGTTCGTTTCTTGACTTAATGCACGGTATCTCCAATAGGGATATATTTCTAAAAAAAGCGTTACAGATAGGGAAACCAAACCTGGTATCTGTTTTCAGGACATGACTGTTGTGATGGTTAATAAACAGGAACCAAATAAGAACAGAACTCTGTGGCGGGGGATATTGATAACCATGTCTCCTTGTTTGATGTTACATCAGAGTTCGAATGCAAAAAAAAGTGGGACACCCAAGTCGGACTGCCACTCTCCGTTCTTCTGCAACTAACGGGTTCGGGTGCACATGTTCGCTGACCTGAGTGACTAATGCCATCGGATCCCAATTGCGTAGATCGATGCTTATGGTGTTGATCACTGGATTTTCTGGCCAGACTTGATTATTTACAGACTGCCTTCATATAGCTTGACTGTTTCTGAGTGCGGCGTTACACAACAAATATATAAAGCCTCCCAAGAAACAACCACCAACAGCATGTGCTTGCGAATGTGCGTCAACATGCCATGGAGATATTCTCACCGTTATTTGTTGACGATACAATGTGAAGGTGGACATTGTTCACCCTCTGATTTATAACTTGGTGAAACCAACTAGTTAATTCAGTCACAGGGGCTTGTAACGCTAAAAACTGCCATCAAGGCATATACTGTCACTGACGGGGTCTTAGTACTATATAAAAGGTCCTTTTTATATAGTACTAAGACCAAATCAGTCATAGGACTTGTAACGCTAAAACTGCCATCAAGGCATATACTGTCACTGACAGGGTCTTAGTACTATATAGAGGTCATTTTGTATAGTACTAAGACCCCGTCAGTGACAGTATATGCCTTGATGGCAGTGTTTAGCGTTACAGGCCCCTGTAAAATTCAGTGTCCCAAAAGAATCCAAGGATTAAATCCCTATATCTGCAAAGTTGTGTCTGACAACGCGTTCGTAACGTTAGACCTATTGTAACCCGATGCTATATCATTGGCTTACGATTAATGTAGTTCTAGGAAAGCTTTGGAGATAGGACAGTGGTATACATATGTATCGAATAAATCATCAAGAGCTCGCATCAGATGGACGAGCAGTTAATAAATCGCCGTTAAAAAGCACATTGAAGAAATCTACCTTTCCCGTGCATCCCTTCGTGAATCAATATTAGTGAAAAGTGTTTTTGAAACAAAACTAAAACACATTTCAGTTCATTTTAGAACAAAGCATTTACCCAAATGGTCATGAATCTAACATCAGAAAATAAATTGTAAATGTTTGTGTGCAATTTGAAACTACTTTGCGGCAAGTCATCAAACACATTTAAGCGAAAGGTGCGTTTAACTATTCTTCTGTTGATGACAGGAGAAATACTGAAAACAGACTACGAAAGAGAAATTACGAAATTGAGTTTTCAAACGTGAGTGTTGATGTTCCACTTTCATTCAACGGATTCCATGATTTTTTTCCAAATATTATTAATAATACGCACCATTTAATGTTAACAAGACTCAAACCAATTACGTATCAACTTGCCCACTCACTCACCTCATCCAAATCAAATGACCACATTGGTTGGTTGTCAGTGCACCCCTTTAGCAAATGGAGATGTATATGTAGAGACTGAGAGTGGCGAGTGTGTGTTGACCATGCCAAATATAACAGAAAACAGGATTGCTCTCAAACATTTGCAGAAAGATATAAAGGTGTTAGCACAATTCACTTCATGACTCAATATGCACAATGGTGAAATGATAATGTGATAAAAATCCTTCGTGTTGTTCATAAATGTCGAAACATTTTGGAAACCATGCATGGGATGATGCGTCCGTGAATTTAGCAATAAAGTATGATACATTTATGGAATGCATGCACTGAAGTGTACCTTTTCTTTTCAGATGTTACCTCGACTTTACCTTGCCACTTTGAGAGTTGCAGTGAACGATGCTGGAAAGAAAACAGGTTTGATACCAAAGGATTTGAGTCGTTTTTGAAAAGTGGTGGATCGGCAGCTGATAACGACACATACAATGGTATACCTGAAGAGTCTTTGAAGGCCCACATATATGTCATTGTGATGAAATGTGTATAATCTATGGGGATTGCTGTTATGATTTTTTCTCTGAATGTCATGGTACTAACTTGTCAACTCTGTTCTCAAATGTGTCAGATTGGAATGATGTTTATACAGTGACAAAAAGTTTAATGAATGATACTTCCTCTTTCGAGGTAAAGATGTTAATCTTTATGTTCGGATCCTGCCAAAAAAGTGAAGGTTTTGATGATGGAAGCACAAGTTACTGGATGATATCTAAATGTCCTCACAGCACTGAGGCAGGTATAGCCGACAAATGCACATCTGAAATAATTACTCCCCTTACTAATTCGCCAGTGACACTGAAACAAAGTCCAGAAGTGATATTTCGTAACGTCTTTTGCGGCATTTGTCATGGGTTTGAAGTAAAGGATTTGCTTCAGTGGACCACCAGTGCAATTTGCATTGACACCGATCCTGGTAGTTATGCAAGATTACTGGATGAACTCAAATCAGGAAATTGCACAATAAACAGTAAACCAACAAAATATACAAAGGTAAGAACATGCCATGAACGTGGCTTTGGCAGCTGCTCACAGATTGAACAGTATGTCAGTCCCAATGTTCTGATGTGCAGGAGCTACCTGAACATGGTAAACAAGACTGGAGTGCGCTACAGAAATCCCCATGACATCTTAGTTCATCAGAAAGACTTGAATGAGGGGGACGTAACTTGCCCTGAAATACAACAACCCCGAATGAATGGAGATATTGCATTTAGTGCACCAGGCGGCCTAGTAATTCTGTTTAATTTTAATAAACAAGGCGTGCAATCTGAAACTAATCAAATGATAATTCCTCGAGCAGACTGTAAGTTAGACGAAGTATTTGACCATTATTTTGACATTTGTAGGAAACTGCTCTGTCAAAGGGGCAATGTTGCTGTCAACGGATCTTGCGTCTTTTATGGAACTAACATTCTGAGTGAAACACGCTATTTTGTTCCATATCATGTAACGCCAGATCACTTTTATCTAAATTTCTCAACCAATTTTGGAAATGACGAAATGACCGGGACAAAGTTAAAGTATTCTGTTATGAATATTACCTTTGCTGAAGATTTTATCACAGATTTACACTTTCTCATCTCTAATATACCTACCTTGCCATTATTTAAAGAAAACAATGCAACAGGTAATATTCTCTATTCGCGTATTGATTTCGTTATTGACATAATGACTCACTCAGATTTAACACTGATGACACTCGTGCATGAAATATCGCAAATATATAAATTGTTTCACAATGAAGGCAGCGCCCACCCTCCAACCATATCAGATGTGTTCTTATCGAATGGGTATATGCAGAACTTCACATGCATTAAGGGGAAAGCTATTACATTACAAAATGCATCCTTGACCACAAACAATGGAACAATGTATGCTCATGACAGCGGCACTATGTACCTGCTGGAGAGGATAGGATTTGTTCTTCAGTACGATTACATGACTGAAATTCTTGCCGAATCCATGATTTGTGGTATCCCTCTAAACTGTGATTTTAGCATTCTAAATCGTTCCGATTTTGAACTAGATAACGCTAAACTAAAAGCTATCAACTCTGACCAAGTCCTTGAAGAAGATTCGTTTTTTATACAAGAAGAAAGGGTATATGCCTGCAACATGTTTAACCATTCTCGACCCAAGAGCCACATTCAAACATTCTTTAAATACGATCACATACAGGGCATTCTGACGTATGTGACTTCAGGTGTTTCCATGGTCAGTCTACTAATCACACTGGTGGTGTATGCACTTCTGCCTGAGCTGAGGAATCTACCCGGTCGTCTAACCATGTCTTTGTCTGCCACCCTTCTGGTTGCCCAGACACTTCTGCTCCTCATTCATCTGCCCACGGGATTACTGTGTCAGGCACTTGCCATCACTCTGCACTTCTCCTGGCTTTGCTCCTTTATGTGGATGACAGTCATGTCTGTGAGTTTGGCTCATACTTTCCAAAACAAAACAAAGCAGGCGCTGGCTCAAAGGGCTAACAAAACATATGCATTATTCAGTCTCCTTGCATTCGGCATCCCAGCACTCATCGTTGGTGTTTCGGTTGTTATTGATCTCCTTGATGTCCCAGGTTTAGATATTGGTTACGGATCATCTGGAGTATGCTGGATCTCCAATCCCTCAGCATCACTCTTGGTATTCGGGCTCCCGGTTGGTCTTAGTATTGCAGCCAACACAATCTCTTTCGTGGTTACATACTACAACATCGACAAGAGTCTGAAACTTTCAAAGAACGTGTCAAGTACTGGGAAAGACAAATCCCGGTTTCTCATCTACAGTAAGCTGTTCATCATTATGGGTCTTACATGGGGATTTAGTTTCATTGCTGGCTTTGCTAATGTAACTTCCCTTTGGTATATCTTCATCATTATGAATGGACTTCAAGGGTTTTACATTTTATGTAGCTTCATCTGCACGGACAGGGTCAAACTGATGCTAAGGAAGAAATTGACAGGCAAGGAATCGCGGCATGACGTCACTTCGACAGTGTACACAACTGCCTCCACTTAATCATAAGACTGGTGACCAAATCGTTTTGTTTCATTAACCAAAATATGTCGAGTTCACAAATGATGGAATGCAGATATACCCCCAAAAATTCGCATGCGTTACTCCATGTCCCAAACTACCGATACAGAAAAAGTGTGTTGATTGTGGATAAATCGGTACATCTCGTTTATGGACGTATTGAGCGTACATGAAAACAGGATTGGGCATTTAGATGCGCTTGGTGCACCCTCCATCGTCAACTGTGGGAATGTGGGGTCACTTTTTGATCTCACAGGGACCAGCCATCTGTATTGGAGCTTGTTCTGTACCGTGTACGCCCCTCACTCATTTACAACAGCAAGGCAACGTTGTCCCATTGACTGCTTAACACATGTGAACACTGCATTAGGCATGTACCAACATGGCGCTCAGCTCTTGAACATTCTTGGGTTGAAGAAGCACGAAGATTTCTTTAATGATCATACCAATGGGATTGAGGTCAGGTGATCTCGATGACCATTCCATGACGTCAGTTCCCGCATTTTGCAGGAATTTTAACCATCTGCAGGTGCAGTTGTGCTCAGCGTAGACGTTCATTACGGTTTCAATCGTTCAATCGGCTTTACGCAACCCCTAAACAGTGCGTTTCTGGTTGACGTTTCGGTCGTAAATCGATTACACAAATGACGTAGCCGAATCTGATTGTCATCGGCATGAGACGTCACACGTGGCCGTCCCGAGGCTTGTTTATCTTGTTTTTGTACTCACCACAAACTCTGCACACGTGTAGGCTTACGTTTTCACAAAAGATCGTGCTGCATATACCCTGCGTGGTTCACCACCGTTGAAATGGGAGAATCCGTCAGGTGAGACATGACCATTATGGTAGTCGCCCACATTAACTACCTTGTACTGTCAAGTTTAATGTCATTTTTTTTTCAAATGTAAAGGTTTTTTGTGTTCAGTATATATGTTACAAGTAAGAACATAACACGTGTATAGTGGGTCGGTTGTGTCTTCATGAGGGTGATGTTCGGAGTTGATTTTGATCATTTGATCAATGAATTTATTACAAAGGTTGATAAAACAGTTTAAGATAAATGAGAACATTTACTATAGAAACAAGAGGAACCGTTGCAGTGTTTTATGGGATTCTTGGGGACAGATTCGGATCTAATGATATTGACAGTTAAATTTCAACTTTGTAAATATTTGAATAGCTTTTCGGTGATTCATTTTGTCATGATGATTTGATGTGTGTAAAATCACTCTCAATGTCTAAAGCCCTGTGGGGCGGTGGGGTAAAAGCCCAGTGGTTAAAGCGTTCTTGACGCCGAAGGGTTCGAGTCCCCAAATGGGTACAATGTGTGAAACCCATTTCTGATGTTCCAGATTATTATTGCAGGAATATAGCTAAAAACGGCGTAAACCCCACCCCTCTAAAGCACTGTTAATATCTTATCTGTCAATAAGTTGATATTGTCATAACTCCTTAAAATCCATTAAAACTCGGTGTCATCTGCTAGATTATTGTGAATGGTGTGACGTTCATTTGTGAATATTGTGACTAGTCGATAGGTGTTGCATGTTTATTTGAGGTACGAATATTAATAACGTTCGTATGTGCAAGATTTTTTTGGCTAGCAAAGGTTATGTGATCTACAGATATTTTCTTGAATGATAATCGATGTGAGTAGAATAACGGTTCATTTCATGATGTTGTATAAACGCTACTTGATGATATAAAATATACTCTTAAAAAACAACAACTATACGTATGAAATGTTTTAAGGAACATATTTGACACAGACCAATTCATGCTGAATCCCAACTTGTGGGGGAATGGCTGCTGACGACAAAACGGTTAAAAAAAGAAACTTTGAAGAAAAAAAGTAACGTTACACTCACGTCTGTAGTGAATCGCTAAAACGCACCCTTTATGAAATGCACGTGCACCTTGAGCTGAAGTTTATAAGTGTAGGCTTTAAAATGCCACATCAATGGTACTCCGCATGCATTGCTTTAAGCCACTATTGACGACAAGAGAATGAAAAGACTGACAGAAACTCAATGACACAACGCCATCGGCTGTTTACAAGGACGGGCATCGCAGCATGAGCTACCAAGCTGTTATCGATGCTCATGGTGGTCACACCTGATACTGACATTTTACTCTGACTAAGTGGCTTTAATAGCCCTCTGTGGTTTTACCAATCACCTTCTGGATAATCATGTTTTGGAAATTTGTAAAGTGATGATTTTACTGTAATTTACTGTAACTCAAGAACAGAATGTATAGTTTCTTTTTTTTGAAGAATATAGAAACTGAGTCATACATATTTTTAAATTTGGAGTGATAAACCCTACACCCCTACCCCATTCCCTAATGAAAACGCAATACAAACACACAAACGCCCAAAAGGTACAACAAAACAAAATCAGAAACCAAACAACCACCACATAGGATTTCATGTGATATTTAGATACGCTATCTTTCGCCACTAATTGTGATTTCAGGGTTCGCCCGTAATGTTGTTCATCTGTGAATGTGTTTTCGTATAGAGACGTGTACTGTCCTTAGTCGCACTGAATGATGGAGAAAAATGTCACAGGGCGACAATGCGACAGTTTTCAAGGTCAGAATATGTCGCTTTGTCGCCCCATCTTAAACTGCGCGACAATGTTAAGTTTGCCACTCTTTTCTTGTTTTTGTGAGGGCGACAATGCGATGTATCTTCTAGGATACCATACATTTCTGTACCATGTTTTGACTATAGATGATACTTGTGGACACTATGCACTTGTTCCTGTGAATGTTAAGGAATAATCTTTTACTCACGCTATAAATAGAAATGTAATAAATAGATGTGATACATGTTACCCTGATAATATGTTGTATTGTTATGTAACGTGTCTGATAAAGAGAATAACTTGTAATTAATCCTTTTGAATTTGCTCATTCGTTGTGCAGTTTTGTGTTGACCAATAAAATGCTTAAAAAGTATTTTATGTTATGATATTTTATGAAAAGCATTCTCGGGTGTGTTCATGGGGTAGTGTTGGTGTCTCGCACTAAATATAAATATTCCGTATGAACGACGGTCTGTAAATAATTGAGTCTGGACCAGACAATCCAGTGATCGACATAATGAGCAATACTGTCAATTCGACATGTCAGTTCGAAAACACCAATCATCCACGTCAGTGTTTTTTGTTTGTTTGTGCGTTGTTTAACGCCCCACTCGGTGATACTCCAGCCATGTTTGTGCGGTCTGTAAATAATCGATTCTGGACCCGACAATCCAGTGATCAACAGCATGAGCATCGATCTACGACCACACGATCCCGTTTGTCGCCTCTTATGACAAGCATGAGTTACTGAAGATCAATTCTAACCCAGATCTTCACGGGTATCTTCAGTGAGCCGTCCCACCGATCAACGAGCACCACTCATGAGACCAGGGGCTGTAATCAGCGTCTAATAATTTTATCTCACATATGGACATTTGGTCAGTTAACAATTTGCATCATTTGTGTTTAATGCCGTAATCTTGCCGTCATCTTGTTTCTGGTAAAGATTTGTTATGAATATGGAAAGGGTCCCTTTGCATCCTTATTATTGAACAGAGGTACAGATAAGCTGCGTATCTGCGTAAATTACGCAAATATTAATGTGAAACTCAATTCCTATAAAGTCTATTGCGTACAAGTACGCTTAAAGTTTTGTAAATACTCAATACATTTGATCTTACTTGCGTACACACAAAAATGTCAAATCTTAGCTTGCGTACCGGTGGATAGAGTAAATAACTGAGTTATATTGAGAGGTTCTATTTCACCACATGAACTTGGCACTTTGCAGTCTTTTTTACCGTTTCTCATATTACAGATCAAACATAAATAACAAACACTAACAGTTAAACTGTTTTATTTTTTTAAAATTAATGGAAAATGGCTAAATACCTATTCTACCATGGCTACGTGAAATGCTCGAATTTGATTAGTCAAGCAATAACATCAGACGGTATCAATTTGGATTGAAAATGCCTCTGATTTCACGGCGCTTCACTGCGCACGTATACAACACTGCCGCACTACTTCAGCTTGGCCACCAACATGACTAATATCAACACAACAGACGTGATGGAAATGCTGATGAGATATTTATTAAAACTCGAAAAATACAATTATACGATTTCTCCTCCACAATTATTAGGGGACTTCACTATCATAATTATTACCTTCTATTATAAAAATATTAAAACTCAATTACAATACACAGCCCCAAACATAAACAAATAATATCTAACATATAAATCAGAAAACCTTGTAAAATTACATCCCTATTTATCCCTATTTGTGCGGCAAAACGTTCGTAAACATTTACCTACCTGGTAAATGGTATATTTGTTTCCGTTTAGAATGGGAAATTCGCAAGATAACGGTCAGTCGAAACACAAAATTTATGCCACTCATACTCCATCATGTCCCGTTGCATCGTTCAAAATGTCAAAAACTGAACCATGAGAATTCAGTTCTCTGCCACCTTACCCGAAGTCTGTCAACTGCTATGTTCGTATACTTTGAAAAGCTTGGCCACAATCCAGTCCCAAATGATGAGAACAATGTTCCAAGGAATCCCAAGTTAGTCGCATGTACACAAAGCTGCACTGTCACTCTTCCTCGCATGCCGGGGTGGAGGCACGCACGTGAAATCATGATCGACACTCGCCGGTCATAAAAATCAACAGTCTTTGATGAGTTACAGGTTATAGGTCGATCAGAAAAGTATCTATTCTTCGATTCTGCAGGGTTCAGGTTCGACAGTCAGTCAAGTATTTTCCACTGTCACTTCGAATTTCAACCTTTCGCAAAATATAAACACTGGCTCGTCCGCCATTTCAAACTGTTGCGTAACTGTCTGCTTCCAAGAAAATAAGTAGGTCAGACGATTCCATTATACTGTGGCCAGGGGGGTACAGTAATACGGCACACAAAACAATAGGCTGGTTTCGGTCTTG